TTATATTTTAAACTGGTGGTGGTTATGTGCTGTGGAGTCGGTTCCAACACATAGCGACCCTGTACAGGGTTTCTGAGGCTGCAAATCTTTATGAGGAGCAGAACGCCTTTCTACAGCGGAACAGCTGGGAGTTTTGAACTACTGCCCTTGAGGTTGGCAGCCCAATTCGTAACCACTACGGTATCAGAGGTCCTTTTTAAACTAGTAGTTGTCTTGAAATTTTCCTTCCAAAAGTGGTAGTCTTACCATTTTAAACTCTTATTTTAGGCAAATGTGGCAAATGGCACTCTTTCTAAATTAAAAACTTTGAAAACCTGTTTTATAATTTAGTGTAGTACGTGTTGTTAATATTCATGTGCTCTTTATATTTCCTTCAAAGGACAAATTGATTTGACGCATGAAAAATTCATACAACCAGAAAAATGAAAAAAAATTCAAGTCCAATTTTCATTTTGTAGAACTTTTATAAATAATCTTTCTGACTCATTTTCTGCCTAAAATAGTTTAAAGTAACCGTTCAAATTGACGTGGCTAATTTGAGCATTCAAATAGATACCTAAGCAAAAATTTGAAGGATCTTGGCAAAGTGTTTTTAAGAAAGGCATTAATCTTTTTGTCTTGCAAAGGAATTACACCTAACAAAGTAGATAGGGACTGAAAGAACCTTAAATGAGACTTCAAGCTTAAAAATTTTAGGGTGGGAAATGTGTTAACATCAGTAACCTAATGTAGCCAAGTTCATCCCTTTTAGAACTTACTTGAATACAGAAGAAAATACTTTAGTCATAAAATTGTATTATTGAACAACTGAAGGCTACAGAAATTCTGAACTTTTCATCTACATAAGGAAGAGCATTTAAAGTAAATTTATGACAATTAGGTTTAAATGTGTACTTCAGAAGCGTACAAGGAGTAAGTACAAGCAAATCAATACTATCTGTAGCAGGAGATTTTTCATATTGCATTTTTCAAGTGTTCTGGTGAGTATACGCACTCGACCTCAAGGTTGGTTTGAACCACAAGGTTAGAGGTTCAAATCCACCAGCTGCTCCTTAAAAATCCTATACTGAGTCAGAACCAACTCAACAGTATTTAACAACAGCAACTGCAAGCTTAGTTCACATAGTATCCACAGTTGTTGCTTTCTGTGGAACCAAGTGGTACTATAAGATAAGCACTGGACTGCTAACTGCAATATCAATATTTCAAACCCTCCTTGAAACCCTGTACAGGGATGCTATAAGTTGGAACTAACCATCCAAACCATAGGCTCTGAGGATCAGACTCTAGCTACCTAGTAGACATAACAAACTGTCCCTCATCTGATTATTCAGTAATGCTTGTTAGTAGTCTCATACGTGAGCCCTGGATATCCACAGACAAATGTAAAAACCT